TAGTAAACGAGATATTGTTCCTTAAACAAACCATATGTGTACCTAGTAAACCAGCTAGTAAACGAGATATTGTTCCTTAAACAAACCATATGTGTACCTAGTAAACCAGCTAGTAAACGAGATATTGTTCCTTAAACAAACCATACTTACTAGATAAACAAAGTAACAATATCTCGAAACAAACCATATGTGTACCTAGTAAACCAGATATTGTTCCTTAAACCAACCATATGTGTATCTAGTAAACGAGATATTGTTCCTTAAACAAACCATATGTGTACCTAGTAAACCAGCTAGTAAACGAGATATTGTTCCTTAAACAAACCACTAGGATTCAACTATTTCTTTAAAGTGGATTATCGATTTTGGAAGCTCTCCTCATTTGATTCCAAGGAAGAGTTTATTTTTTCAAGGGTATTTTAGACAATATGGTGGAATTTTAGCTTTAATGAACTGCGCCTGCCTGCTTCTAACCAACAAACAAACACAACACAATTAACATGAATTCGACCTGAAAAAAGGCCTCATTATAGAAGTCGAAACATTGTCCCACTTTTGAAAGATTATATGCACTTAGTTTTGGAAACCATACTATGTTAATATGAACATGCAACTTCTCTGTTTCTGAAAAGTGTTCTTTTTTCCGATATATGATGTGAAATTTTATTGAACTTTTCTTGTTTTCTCGTAAAAGTGAAAAGTCTTCTGATGTTTAAGATAATTTTGTCCAGTACAATGAACGTGTCAGTGCATTATAATAAGCAAATTTTAGTTATGTTTTTGCCATGCCTCAAGTTTCCTGAGCTTGTTTTTGTGCTGATTGACAGGTTTATACGTTTCTTTGTGTTTAGTATTTTCGATCAGTATTTATGTAATCATTTTTTATAAACCTACTTTTTCATTTTTTTTCGACATTTTTATTAGTTACTCATGTACGATGTCGTTTCTGTTATTATGATAGTTTTTGGTTCTAAGAGTTGTTCATGAAGACGTATTAAACTCCGTGGATGAAAGTATTCTGCTAGCTCCTAATAAGTTCATTCTGTGGAAGTGTAATGGACTCACGAGGCCCATATAACTAGATAAACCTAAGGACCACCAGAAGCACGCTAATTTCATCAGAACACTACCAGTTTCATAAATCATAGTTAGGAAAAAAAAGTCTAAATACGAGAATTAATTGTCAGATAACTTAATTCAAACTCATATAGACTAATGAAGTGCTATAAAACACATAAACAAATATATATAGATAGATAAATGACAGTTTTGATGTAATGAGGGCACGTGATAATGGGTGTGTTTGGTATCTGACAGCATATAAAAAGCTAAGATTGAGGCAGTAGATCACTTACCACTAAAAGTAGTGACGGCCGGTTTGAAGCTTTGCTGTAAAAAGAGCCTCTAGCGGATCGATCAGAAGCGGATTACGACAGCAGGGTAGGAGCTTAAAAGGCCTCGCTGTCAAGCTGCCAGTGTCAGTCGTGCAGCTATTCAGACAGACCTCGATGCATGCCCGCGCTGTCAAACTGTAGTGCAAAAAAAGCAGTTTTACAGGGAGTTTAATGGCGTTTTTGTTGAGGTTTGCAGTGCATTTTCCTAAGAGCTTTTAAGCTAATTCGTGTCGAGTTTATGAGTGAAAATCGTTTTATTAGAGCATTTAAACATCAGAAAAGGTAATGGATGCAGTAAACTCTGGGCATTATTGAGTCTCTTTTTGTAGAAGATTACTTTAAAAAAGATTGATATTTTATCAACGTTTATACCATTTGAACGTGTTCTCATTCCTGTACATAAGCTACTGCATATAAATTTTATTTAGTAGCATGTTTCTGTTCTGACATTTTATCTGTGTTGCTGTTTTCGTTTTGTTGTTAAGTAGTATGTTATGTTTAGCGTAACTTTATAGTGTAAATTTGAGTTATTGTTTATACATTTGTTATGTCAAACATTTTAGTGATGGTTTTGAACAGTCTAATTCAGTAACTTATGATTATTTGTAGTGAACTCCTCTTTTAGAATGTTAAGCTGTGCCCTCTTATTGGTATAGACTTAACAAGTTATATCTAGTAATTTAGTTTGCTAATAAGTATTTCTATGTTCATTTTTATGTATTATTACCATTTTTATTGTATTAATATCAAAGGTACAAAATTGAGTGTTCCACTGCTGTTAAGACTATGAAAAAGTTATAAATATTTATGTATTTTGAAAACTATGTTCTAACAACATGCGGAGATGTTCAATAATTTGTGCCTTTAGTTTTATGGTAAATGCTGTTTATCATAATTTTGTTTTATTATTTAATTCACGTATGTAATTCATATTTCGATATTCTTTAAGTCAACCTTATTTTTTTAATTGATGAATTTTGCGTTCTTTGACAAACACATGCTCTGTAGCTAAAACTATTATTGTATTATTATTATTTTGTGTGTAGCCATAATGTGGTCAATGGTGCAGGTAGGGGGCGTGACAAGAGACAACACTAGCGACATCTGCCAGGCTCCTTGTTCCAGGTCCAAACATGCCATGTGTGCCACGAAAGGAGGGCTCTTTTATTTATTAGGCGGAAGAAGCGGAAATTTAGCTCTTAAGGATTTTTGGAGGTTTAATCCCAGTAAGTACCTTTCTTAGTAAATTTAGATATTTTTTTACGTCATTCTCATTCAATTCCGATTAGGACAGCGTTTCTTAAACCCTTACCCCAAGCCTATCGATGTTTTGTTTTGAAAAAATAAATAAATTCTGTGTACACAAAAAGATATATTCCAAAATTAAATGTTTTACTTCACATGAATTTAATTTTTACGAATTTTTATTTTCTATAAATCATATTTTTTAAAAACATTTTAATGAAATTTCAGACATGACTCGCGGACTCCAGTTTGAGAAACGCTGGACAAGGAAATAGTACTTTTAGTTGCCAATAGGATATAAAACAATTTCGAACAGAAGTTTCTAGTGTTTATGAAAAATACAAAATACTTCTGTATTTCCTCAGAACATCTTTAAATCTTAAAATATGTAGCCTTTTTACCAAATCTCTTGAAAACTTATAAGATTATTCACTGTTTAATAGTTACTAGTAATAACTTCAAGCACATTTTGTGTTCATGTCCTTTTACGAGATTCTATTGAAAGAAGCTACTTTTTAAGTTTTGGGCGAGAAAGACTGCCATGTTCCATATTTCAAAACAACAAAAGATAATAGTGAAGAGAGTCAGGAAGCCATTTTGACGTATTATGTTGTTCAATTGTATGTGTCACTGGGTTAACGTTTTTCTGGATGATTTTAAGCTTCAGAAAGTTATTCACTTTAAATTACTAGAAATTTGGTTAACTAACATTCTGCGTGTAAGCGTAGGAGAAACATCACTTAAAACTGGACTGGGCGTGACCTAATAGTTAAAGTTTCGGACTGCGAACTAGAAGGTCCTACCTTCGAGATCGCGATAAATACATTCTGCACCTGAAGCTCTGGGTGCATTATAAAGTAACAGTAAATTCCGATATTCGGTTAAGAGTAGTCGTTAGTAGGCGGTGGGTGCTGCTACTGATTTCCGTCCCTTTGGTCATCAGTTCTAAATCAGGGAACTACGTCTGAGCCTAAGAGTCTATGACCTAGATGTTTAGCATAATGTATCGTTTAGAGAAATAATATCTGAGCTGAATACTGTGGATATAGATGTTTAAGCAAATTTCTTTGATATCCACAATGAACGTAGCAGTAACGTTGGAGCTTGCTAAAGTTATCTAAACAAATAAAAATAAATTTTATATTACTTAAAACGTGTAATTCTGCATTTGTAAAGAGAAACCTAGGTGATCATGTACAAAAATACTTCGTCGTATATGTAGAATTATAAAATTTGGATATCAGAACGGTGTTTTAAAGACGTTTCGGTGAGCTACTATATTCGTTGTAGGCCGGCTCTGGCCTAGTGGTTAGATTCTCCTGACTGTGAGTCTGAGGATTCTTGTTTCTCGTCTTGTTGCCGCAAAAATATGCTCTGCGCTTTAGTGCCATGGATGTGTGATAAGTGTCACTGTAAATCTTACTATTATGTTAGAAAAAAACAGCAGCCCAAGATTTGGCGTTTCGTGCTGTTGACTAGCTGCATACTCTCCAGTCTATCAGTTCAAAATCATGGACAGCCCTTTGCGTAGCTTTGCGCGAAAACATTATAGAACAAACAAACCATTATTTCTGGGGAAAATCACACTCCAGTAAAATACTATTCTTTTTTTAGAACAGAAATAGACAAGTTTTTCCTTTTCAATGACCTCACCTTTAGGTTTAAGACTTCCTGCTGAAGAATTAAGCTTATAAAGGTTCGTGAACATTTGAAAATTAATATATTTTCGGGTGAACCTAAAATTTCATTGCTATTAGAAAGAGCTACTAGCAAAAAAAGAAGGCGAAATCAAATGTACTCTCAAAGACGAATCAAATCTATCTACTTGAGTTTTGTCTTGATAAAAATAGTGAGTAATAACAGTTAAATGTAATGGTTCTTAGCGCTAACAACTTAGTCAGAGAATTTTTTGTAACTTGAGAAAAAACTGAGTAACAACAGTTAAATGTAATGGTTCTTAGCGTTAACAACTTAGTCAGAGAATTCGTTGTAACTTGAGAAAAAGTAAGTAACAACAGTTAAATGTAATGGTTGTTAGCGTTAACAACTTAGTCAGAGAATTTGTTGTAACTTGAGAAAAAGTAAGTAACAACAGTTAAATGTAATGGTTGTTAGCGTTAACAACTTAGTCAGAGAATTTGTTGTAACTTGAGAAAAGTGAGTAACAACAGTTAAATGTAATGGTTCTTAGCGTTAACAACTCAGAGAACTTGTAACTTGAGAAAAAGTGAGTCACAACAGTTAAATGTAATGGTTCTTAGCGTTAACAACTTAGTCAGAGAATTTGTCGTAACTTTCAGGTTTTAAGATTTTTAAGGTTTTTGACGATTACTTATTGTTAAATTATTTGTTTCTCCTCTCTTGTTGATGTATTTCTGTTTTTATCATCCTTCGTATTTTATCTGTTCTTTCTCTTTATCTGAATTCGTTTATCCACTTTCTTTTATTTCTTCCTTCTTCTCTGTTCTCCTCCCTTATACATTTCATCATGTTTTTGGAGTTCCATCAAAGTTGATTGAGAATCCCGATAGAATCTCCGCATTGATTTTCCTTGACTTTGTTATTACTTCAGCTACTTTTCCTTATAGAATGTGACGTTTTACTCAAAGTAACAGTAAAAATAAATCGTACCTTCATTTATTTAAGCAACAATGACCAGATCTCAAAGTATGCCATCCATTTCGAAAGGCTAGGAGCCTATATTAAATCCTAACTAAGAAATATGAGCTAAAATAAAATAAGAATATTCTATTTCAAAAATGGAGTTTTATAAAAATAAAATATTGTCATTGTTTAAGTATGTGTGTGTGTGTGTGAGTATATATATATATATATATATATATATATATACGCATACATACACACACACACACACACACACATATATATATATACAATCCTTATTTGTCAAAACCAGTGGCTCAACGGAAACTTTGAAGACGTATAAGAAAGAAGGCAGCTAGTTAACAGAACCACCACCAACTCTTGTTGAAAGAATAGTGGGGTTTTTCCCGTCATTTTTATGGCGCATCCATAGTCCAAAATTGTGGAGCGCAATTTTGCGACAACTTACCGAGAACCAATAACTCTTGGACTCACACTCCAAGTACGCTAACGCCAAGGCTACGTCGAGCACCACCAATTTATAAGTTAGCATACTAGCAATAAAAAAAATTACTTTTGTACACATGTACAACATTTTATACAAAAAATTGCATAATAGGAGGTGTTTGTTCATATTCGACTGTAAATGCTTAGTCTGCCTGTTATGTATGGAATATGAAGACACGTTCTCATGTCACACAGATCAAATTCATCAACTTTCAACACAGATAAATGTACGGTTTGTTATTACTAAATCTTCTTCAGGGACATATTTACTCGTTTTTGTGGTTTAAAAGACAAATCATTGACCATAAGATCAGTGCAAATTAGTGTTTGAACAATTAAAGATGAAGACTTTTTGAGTGAATTTGGTTCACATGAACTTGTATTATTAATATTTAGTGTATTGCACAATAATTGCACCAAAAGTACTACATTAGCTAGCAACTGGAAGCTAAAAACCTGCCATATGATACCCCCTCCCGAAAAGAGAGATGCAAAATATAATGTAAACATAAACATCATATAAGCATTTATGTTAATATTTCCATCATAAAGGAAGGAATGCATTTCAAACAGCAAGGCAAAACTTGTGATGAAATAAAACACAATTAGAATACAAAACAAGCCATAAAAAAAACTTCTGCACAAAACAACAACAACAAACAAAGTCACCAGGTAATACGACGTGTCCTAGTTTTTGGAAGTGACTGTGGAACAGTTTAAACTATATGATCCTGTGGTATGAAAATGTTATATTTTGTCTCCTCTCATCTTTGTCCACAAGAAGATGCATCTTCATGTTCCATGTATATGAAACGGTCTAAGCAGTTACAACCGAAATATGAATACCTCTTCCTATTCTGCAATCATTTTTCCTTCTTTAAATGAGATTTTAACGTCTATTTAGAGCAAATCCACATTGGATTATCTGTTGTCTCCGCCGTTGGGAATCGAACCCTGGAATTTAGCGTTGTAAGTCCTATCGCTGTCCCATCGGGGGATTGAGATTTTAATATCTTACAAACTATACTATTTTGTTTTTCTCGTTCTTTAAATTGATATTATGTTTTACCTTTATTTTCCATTAGCGTATGTAAACGTTGTATTTTACCATTATTTCCATTAGACGATGTAAAAGTTATGTTTTACCTTTATTTTCCATTTGCCTATGTAAACGTTTATTTTTTATTTCGTTTATTTTTCTTTCTACTGATTTATTTTATTATGTTTGTAAATCACAAAACAATATATTGTAGACTTTAACAGACCTGTAAAATTATGTTTTCTCTAAAACAAGAACAAAGAAGTAATCGAATTAGCTGGTTTTTACGCACAGTCAAGTAGAAACTTGGTTAGTCTGGAAGTTTAATTTGTTACACTGCTTCAATAGTCGCGTTTCCTCTCGTGCAGTATTGTACAAGTAAAAATTTTGAAGTACGTAACCTAGGGCTAAACGTACTCACTCTGCCCCGGACTTTGATATTAGGTGAAAGCGCCAAGAAAAAAATTAGTTTCCGAGAATGCAAACTGGTTTCACTTAGAAGCTAATTATATTTACCGGCGAAAATACGAAGTTATTACTCAATGCATTTTATAAGTGTTTCATATTCTGCTTTTCTTCCTATTTAATTATTGATTAGTGTCTCTATTTTTATTTCTTGTTTGCTATTTATGTTTATTTCTTATTCTTCTCTTCTTTTTCGTGTCTGTTATGTCCTTTCCAACAAAACCTTCTCGAAGAAAGTAATTTTTGTAATGTTGGATTTTGGTTTTCTGCCCGGGGGAAAAATACAGGAAAGTGTCTTTTGAAAAAAGTTATTTCGGTGATAAGTTTATACGTATAAAGTGGTTAATTTTTTTTTTGCTCTGAAATAAATCAACAGCGAAATAAAGTTTATGTTTCGGGTATTTAGTTTAAGAAACAATAGACTTATTTCGTTTCAAAATGGCCGCAGAAAACCGTCGTCTTACTCGCCATTTCAGAATCCAGAGTTTTCATAAAAACCTCTTATTGTAAAATGAAAGTAAAGATAACAAATATATTGTACAAAACGTCGTGTGGTTTGATGAAAGTTTGTTTGTTTTAGAAAATTTCGCGCAAAGCTTCACGAGAACCATATGTGAGTTGTTGCTACTCATTTAGAAGTAACTCAGTAGAAGGAATTCTGATTAAGAAGTTAGTTAGCACACAGGATCACATACAAAAGTTGTAATGGTTTTCAAATGAGACCCAAAACTCGAGCGTTATCGAATAGTTCAATATTCTTCTTCAGGGGGAAGACAACTATTGAACACCACCCACCGACAACTCCTGGGCTACTCTAGAGGGATAGTAGGAGTTTAATGTCACATATATATTACACACACGACTCCAAAGTGCGGAGCGCGAATTTTCGGCAATGGATCATGAATCCTGGATTCTCGAATCCGCAGTACGTCTGTCATGACCGGGCCACATTGTAAATTACCACATTAAGTGCCAAGCTACTACCCTTAAACAGAATCAAAACATATTTGTACGATTCAAACCTTGGAGAATTTAGACGAGGTAACCGAAGTCTAATAATGAAGATGAAGCCGGTTGATAAAACATAAAACATTATATTTAGGTTCGAACGTTTACGACTTCTCTTAATAACTAAGTAAACTAATGATTATGTTATTTCATTATAATTTTAGTTAATGATCATTATTGTAACACAATTTTCAGATTTCGCTGAAGATGGAATAAGTTATTCCGAAATGTTCGATCCTTGTAAATAAAATGTTTTATCAACTGTCTCCATCTTCATTATTTAGACGAGGTGCTTTATTTCCTTGACGACACTGTTGTTTATTGTGTTTTGGATTTCATTTTCAATTGACAGGATATAATCCAATGAAATATTACAAACTCGTTTGAGTAGCTGTAGCATTTTGAAGTCCGAATTTCTAGAATTCCGTGTCTTACACCTTCGTTCCTGTTTTTTTTCTGTGCCCTTTGCATCTAAGTTTGAAAGGTTCGAAACCATTTACGATAACCAAACAAAAATGTAAGTTTTGAAGGATTATTTGTAATAGCACTTCTACTGTTGTCCACCAGAGATAATGTAATTTCTCGTGTTAATAGAATATGTTTGTGTATTTAAGAATTCATGTTTAAAAGCCGCCTTCACTTCATAATGTTAACACTTACAATTAAACTTTGTTTTCAAAATTGTGCTTCTATACGAATGAATCTTTATCAGAAGAGTTGGTTATATTGTTTATCACCTAGGTAAGCATTTGTTCATCGCAAAGATATTTAAAAACTTGATTACTTGTTTTGTGTATCTACTTTTGACATGTATAATTTAGTATTACGCTTCTTGATCTATAACTGACTGAAAATCGTAGAAGTAAATTTTATGGTTATGTTTTTCTTTTTCTATTTAACTAAACCTGACAAGTGAGAAGAATCCCAATAAGGATGGCTCGAATGACGAGATAGATATCCTGCTCGTTCTTTTATTAATAAATCCATATTTCCTGGAACCTTCTCTATTATATCATTTTCACACTTACAGTAACGTACACGTTGACTCGGTCTTTTAACTTCGTGAATCATCTTTTAAAATGGTCTTATTTCTAATTTTATCGATGATTCATTTTTAACTTTGAATGAGTTTCGGAAGAATGTCTTGTCATTACACAACGGTATTTTTAGAAACTTTATTGCCAATACAATTGCAACTAACAGTTTTTCTTCTCGTCTCTCTTCTCTAGTACAAAATGAATGGGAAAGGGTCCGTTGCCATGGGAACAATCCGCCCTGTCTCCAAGACCATACCATTGTGGCGTGGAAGGTAATTGTTTTTTTTTTTAGTTTCTACTAAACAAATGAGTTGGGTTATCTTATCATAGCTTGTGTGGGATTACAAACGTATGATTTTCATCTTTAGATATCATGTCCAAAATAACAGCAGGTTTCTAACAGTAGTGTTGGGGATTCTTGCACAAGTAAAACTAATGTCTGGGTGAGCTTTGAAACATTAGGTAAACCCTCGATAAACAAACGAGTTATATAATACCTGGTCTTAATTTTGTTCGTCGCAAAAATTCGATGATTTTTACAATGGATAAATAAACGATTTAATAGAGGGTATATACTTACTACTCACCCTTCAGTACTGAAGTGATTGTAATGTTTATAATATTATTTCTCTAAACCCTACATGTAAGTTTAATGAAGCTTTTGATGAAAAAACAACTCTGCTTCGTTTCAGTTTCTAATGTACAATGTAAATGTACAATACTAGATCGATCGAAACAAGAGACAGACATTTAGACAAAACTATTTATATATTTTGTGGTGAAATGACCCAAGAACTATATAAAAATAACTGTTTGATGCCATGTTATGAATTTAAACATAAACCAGCCATTTAAAAAACTGATTAGATCTTCTGTAATGAATCTAAACATAAACCAGCCACTTAAAAACAGATTAGATCTTCTGTAATGAATCTTAAAAATAAACCAGCCACTTAAAAACTGATTAGATCTTCTGTAATGAATCTAAAGATAAACCAGCCACTTAAAAACTGATTAGATCTTCTGTAATGAATCTAAACATAAACCAGCCACTGAAAAACAGATTAGATCTTCTGTAATGAATCTAAACATAAACCAGCCACTTAAAAACTGATTAGATTTCCTGTGATTAATCTAAACAAGAATTGGACATTAAAGAAATTGTTTAAACATTTTATGACAAACCAAAACAAGAACTAGTCGTGTGTTTTTTGAAGGATCACGGACGAGCAAATCATTATTGTTGGGTTTATTTAAGAGAAAGATACATTTTTATAGAAATAAAGTTTCTGGTTATTTAAACAGAGCAAATCCTTCACGAGACAACAGGGATAAATCTTTTCAGAAGGTCGAACTCTATCTTGCATCCATTTCATTAATTCCTAAGTTCAACCGTATAGAATAATTATGTGAAATACTAGTGCAGCTCATTTCGTGTGGATTATATTAATTCTGTCTATTGTCTTCGTAATTACTTGCAGAATTTATTCATTGGATATCTTGAAACTTGGCTCGGGTTTAAAGGATATGGAAAAACCAGCATAAAATCTGGTTTATTGAAGTAGTGCATAAAATAAATATTGAATATTTACCTCACCTATTTTTAAATCTATAAAAAAGAATTTGATTTAGAAATTTTGTAACATATATTACATTATATTTTTTTAGGAATAATCTCGAGTTGCACTGAGAACTACATGCAGACGTGATTTATTCATCACAAGTGTGTATATAATGAGAGACTCGGGTGTTTTGAACAACAAAAAGAATTGATTTTATATACCATTCAAGTTAAGAGCAATATATCTCCGTTATAGAAGACATAATGTTACACAGAACTGGGAAGACTACAAAAAATTTAGTTTTTTCTCTAATATTTACAAACATATAATCTTATTAAAATATTATTTTTCATCCTGTTCCTCATAATTTTTTTTTTGCGAGGTTACTTTCTTTTTTCAGTTCTGTGTGATATAAACATTCAACCAGACAATCCTAACTTAAACATTAGTTGAACAATTTAATTGTCATTTTGTAAATTTTAAGAAAAATTCTTGACAGATTTCTTCAGAATTGGGTTCCAAGATAAATTTTAATTCATTTTTATTTCAATATACTGGTTATTTAAAAAACTGGTTAATACTGATATTCATAAATTTAATAAATTACGTGTCATTTCATGGCATAAACATTCTGATAAGTATTTGAATTCATTATTTAGATTTCTTTCAAGTCAAATAACTGTATATATGTTTTGAAGTGTGTTTATGTAACTTTGTATTATGCGTGGTGTAGTTGCAAATAAGGTTATGCTTATTCTAAATGCCATTACAGGCCCCGACATGGCCAGGTAGTTAAGGCGCTTGCCTTGCAATCTGCGGGTTGCGGGTTCGAATCCCCGTCACACCAAACATGCTCGCCCTTTCAGCCGTGGGGGCGTTATAATGTGACGGTCAACCCCACTATATGTTGGTAAAAGAGTAGCCCCAGAGCTGGGGGTAGGTGGTGATGAATAGCTGCCTTCCATCTAGTCTTACACTGCTAAATTAGGGACGGTAGCGCAGATAGCCCTCGTGTAGCTTTGCGCGAAATTCAAAACAAACAAGCGATTACAGTAAATTAATCTGCTTTAACACAGTCGGCCATTTTTACTGATGAACAATAAAATTGATGAGTCCACGGAACATCTTAAGGCTATAACAATGTGAGATGTCACTCAGTAATTGAATTTAAAGGGAGGGAAGAATCAGGTATAGATCTGGCAGCTTGCAAAACCCTTGGTTGACTTAGAACAGTTTTTATGGCAATAGAATAAATATAGTGAAGACTATTTAAATATCTTTTCCTATCAGAGTTTTTGAAACTCGGGACTTCTTTTAAAAGCCTAAACTGTTTTTTTTTTCAATTTGAGATTAATATTGCACGAGTAACTTAGGAACTAATATTTTCATTGTCTGATTCTAGTTAAGTCCCTTCTACCATTGATCTTATTATTCCCATCCTATTTAATGGCCTACCAGACTTATGAGATAAACGTACATTTTGGATTACGTGTAATAAGCACAATAACTGAGTCTAAAGTTAATAATCCTAAAATTTACTTCTCTTAGGGCTGAAAGTGGCCTAATGGTTAGCGTAACAGACTGTAAATCCTTGGTGCATAATTCGCGTCCCTTTGCCTCAAATTGATGCCCCCACATTTTAAGGCCATGGATGCATTTTAAGAGTAACGGTCAAATCCCACTACTGGATTAGAGTATCCCAAGAATTGGTGGTGTTGACTTTCTTCGTTCTCTCTCTCTCCATTCTATCAGTACAAATCTAGGACAATCTGCGCATATAATCTTTGTGTAGCTTCACTGCTTGCTACCAACACTAAATCTATTAAATTAGTACAAAATTGGGACAACCTGCGCATATAATCTTTGTGTAGCTTCACTGTTAGCTACCCAAACTAAATCTATTCTATCAGTATAAAACTAGGACAACCTGCGCATATAATCATTGTGTAGCTTCACTGCTAGCTACCAACACTAAATCGTAAAGGGGCTCATTAAATGGGTGTAAATTTCTGTTGAAATACGATTGTTATTCTGAAAGTTATCCCACAAATAGAAATAACTTTTATTATTATATAAAGTAAGCTGCAAAAAAATCACTGGTCTCTCTGGCTGATTCCTCAAATATCCTAAATTCGCCACTGTACTTGTACGATATAATAATTATTTTAAGAGTCCCGCTGAGGGTCATTTAGTCCAAACATTGACCACATATTTATCTTTCCCGTGCAGATGATTTACACGTTTACTTGAATTTTCAGATTTATCACGCTGCAGCTACATTTATTTACTTCTTACTCATATTCTTAAATAATAATGATTGAATTGTCAGCATTGCTTAAGTTGCAGGATTTGATCCAATACCACAACCGCATCCATTCCACGTCTTCAAAGTTCGTAACTGTAACACTATTAAACCAATACCTGCATTATTTATAAGTGTTTTATAGACATGTGGAAATTACATTTGAAGAGTTAACGGCGTTTTATTCATCTATTCATTCACCACAAACATAACTGATTCCTGGCCGTTATTCATAGTTTACGACACTGGTGTCCATTGAAGCTTCTGTAATTCAATATATTCGACTGACAGTTCTTGTGTAAATATTTAATAAAATCATTTGACGACTCCAACATTTTTAAAATGCGCAACAATTTACTGTATCAACTTAAAAGGAATATAAAACATAAAAAACCTGTACTTGTTTCGGTGGAGCATGCTCCACCATCTTGTTTCGGTGCTTTAATTCTGCAAAGTTGAATAATCATAATTAAAAAAAGTATTTTAAGGTGAGTGATATTTTGATGTTACTAGATAACTAAAATAAATAAATTTGTGTTACGTATTTAAAATGAAGATTTATGATTTTCACGAAACTTTTTTTAATGTACAATTTTTTTTTGCATATAGAAACAGTTATACGTATTTGGCGGAGAAGTTGGATTTGCTTCAACTGGAGAAACTCCTTTATGGGTCTTTGATATCGGTAGGTAATTGTTTTAAAATTTACTGATAAAATATCATGTTCTTTTGCTAAATTATAATAGAATGTATACACTTATATTTTATGGCTGCTGATCATAATGTCTAGGTTATTGTAGTTATTATTTATCCACTTCTGTTTGATCATCTGATAATTATTTTACCAGGCCAGGCATGGCCAGGTGATGAGGACGCTCGACTCGCAATCTGCGGGTCGCTGGTTCGAATATCCGTCACACCAAACATGCTCGTCCTTTCAGCCGTGGGGGCGTTATAAGTGACGGTCAATCCCACTATTTGTTGGTAAAAAGAGTAGCTCAAGAGTTGGCGGTGGGTGGTAATGACTAGCTGCCCTCCCTCTAGTCTTACACCGCTAAATTAGGGACGGCTAGCGCAGATAGCCCTCTTGTAGCTTTGCGCGAAATTCAAAACAAACAAAGAAAAGCATTCCTTCTATTCAGCCATCCATTTCTCTTATGTTTTTTTTTAGCAAGATTAAGAAGAACTATACGATAGAACTTTATTTTTGTCATTAAAATACATTCATGCGTTCTATCGAGTATTGCTAGAAAAAATTAAGAATTGATTTTTTAAAAAAAGGACGTCTTTATTGTTTTCTTTACTTATATTTTACAACAGTACATTTGATTTATTTGTAAGGTTTTTTTCTATTGAAGCAACACAAGTAACTTTCCTCTAAGATTCGAAATACTCTTGTGTACTAGATAAGCTTTAGATAATTGGAGGTGACTCTCCTCACAGAAGAATAATTTATTATTCAAACTATTTAACAGAAGAAATTAAAGCATTACTCTTGGTGATTGTTTTCTTACATTATTAATTTCTGTTTGAAGGATTCCTTAATAATCTCCAGGTTTGGCTCTCTGCAATATTATTTAAATTATTTTTTTCTTGAGTTCTCTCTGCGTAAGACACCGTTTAGACGATTATCAACTTCCACTCTCTTCTCTTAAAGTGTTTGAATAAAAAGTATATACATACATATATATATATATACATATATATAGTGCTAATACCTTCTACGCGAGTAGGACTTCAATTCCTTCAAATTTCATGATAAATTTCCTTATGGTGATTGTTATGTCTGTATGGTACTTATCCAGAAACAGGTGTTTGGAAGAAACAACACGCGCGAGGAATGACGATCAGCCAACCTACGGGAAGGAGGGGTCACACAGCTGTGATATACCATGACGTCATGTATGTATACGGAGGTTATCAGGATTTGAAAGGGTCATCGTCAGAATTGTGGTCATTTGACTTAGGTAAGTGTTTTCCATTTAAAAAGACAGAAATGGAATTCGCGACTTTGCTTATTAGACAGATACTTTAGCCAACTAATCCTCGATTCAACCCACGGATCGAATCGTTAGGCAATTTTTATCCAATTAAACCCGGACTTAACCCGCAGGTCTACTTGCTAGGTAGACGTTTAAACAACTATTACCAGGATCAAACCAGCGAATTTGCTTATTAACAAGATGCTTTTACCCCAACATTTGATCCCGTGGTTCTGATTGCAGGACAACCGCTTTAAATAACCAAGCTTATTTCATTAAAGCACCTATCTAACAAGAAGAGCTGAATGTTCGAGTCTCGGTCTGTCACTTTTTCACAAACATATCTATTACATTTTAAGAATTTAGTCATAAATAGTAAAAATATATCATAATAATTATAGGCAAAGGGCAAAAGGTCAATTTATCCATTAGAGGTTTTACATATAATGTAGAATCTAGCTACAATAAAACACAATAAAGATAAAACAGCTGTTTTAACTTTAAGATCTTGGAGTTTAAAGCTCTAGACACTTAAACTCTATTCTTAGTAGCAAAAACTATCTAACTATTATATTTTATAACTAAGAGCTTCATTTCCATCTGTTCTTTAGAACAAAACTCACAGTTTTTGTCTTCATGGGTGTTTGGGTTTTTAGCTGTCACAGAATAGAGTAGTATAAACTGATTTTTCTGCATTGTCAGGCGCATTTATATTGCTCTTGCACGTTAATTTGTGACATTTCTAATTCAGTCAAATATATCTATTCATATTCGCGATGTTTTTCATACTATCATAAACGATTTCTTTCTTTTATCCCAAAGATACACAAAAGGCCATCATCGCTCTGTTCACCACTGGGAATCGAACCCTTGATTTTAGCATTGTAAGCCCGTAAACTTTCCCGCTGACTCAGTGGGAATCATCATGGATGATATTGAGGGAAAATTATCGGAAACCTCCCATAAGTTCTTCAGTAACTAATAAGTTCGAAAAATGCTATATATATATTATGATTATTTTAATTATTTTCAAAGTAAAAAATATAAAGGAAAAAAAATGTATCCAATATTTTCAGCTATATAATTAAATCAACTTATATACCAAGCGCACATAAGAATGGCAGAGTTTAATGATATTTTAAAAGGCAAAGAAACAAAGGACTGAGTGATTCATAACAAATATTTCTATTATCGTCTCTACTTAGATGTAAAAGTGTAGTCGGGCGTGGCTTAGTGGTTAGCGTGCTGGGTTATGTACGGGAAGTTTAGAGCCGCGATTCGTCGTTGAAAATGCTTTCACTAGAGTCGCGATACGTTGTTGAAAATGCTTTCAATAGAGCCTCGATATTTCGTTGAAAATGCTTTCAATGGAGCCTCGATATGTCATTGAAAATGCTTTCAATGGAGCCTCGATATTTCGTTGAAAATACTTTCAATAGAGCTGCGATATTTCGTTGAAAATGCTTTCAATAGAGCCTCGATATTTCGTTGAAAATGCTTTCAATATAGCCTCGATATGTCATTGAAAATGCTTTTAATGGAGCCTCGATATTTCGTTGAAAATACTTTCAATAGAGCCGCGATATTTCGTTGAAAATGCTTTCAATAGAGCCGCGATATTTCGTTGAAAATGCTTTCAATAGAGCCTCGATATGTCGTTGAAAATGCTTTCAATAGAGCCGTGATATTTCGTTGAAAATGCTTTCAATAGAGCCGTGATATTTCGTTGAAAATGCTTTCAATAGAGCTGCGATATGTCGTTGAAAATGCTTTCAATAGAGCCTCGATATTTCGTTGAAAATGCTTTCAATAGCGCCTCGATATTTTGTTGAAAATGCTTTCAATAGAGCCGCGATATTTCGTTGAAAATGCTTTCAATATAGCCTCGATATGTCATTGAAAATGCTTTCAATGGAGCCTCGATATTTTGTTGAAAATGCTTTCAACAGAGCCGCGATATTTCGTTGAAATGCTTTCAATATAGCCTCGATATGTCATTGAAAATGCTTTCAATAGAGCCTCAATATTTTGTTGAAAATGCTTTCAATAGAGCCGCGATATTTCGTTGAAAATGCTTTCAATAGAGCCGCGATATTTCGTTGAAAATTCTTTCAACAGTGATCGTGTTGTTGACTATTTGTCCTCTTTTTGGTCAGCAGCTCTAAGTTAAGAATGGTTGTGCCTGAACTTTGGAGTTTCTACAGGGTGTCCGAAAAGTCTGGAACCATAGATGATTTGCAGGTTTTTTTAATTTCAGATACGTGACAGATTATGGGCGCTGTCAAAACAAGTACTATTAAAAAATATGAACTATACATTCGAAGAAGCTGTTGTTTGGAAGAGCTTGTTATTATAATTTAGACCTGAGAACTATAAATCTATTCCAAAACTGCACTTTCATTGGAGCAAATACTTACAGAAATATTCCTTAAAACGTATTATTTCTTCCAACGCATTAAAAAAAACGTTTCCGTAAAGCTTCTTTAAATTTTTCTATTAAATATTCTTCTCTTTTGTTTGGTTCTCCAAACTCTTATTGTTTTGACCCGTTATATTTTCACAGATTGTTTTTCGTGGAGAAGAAAGTAAGGTACAATTCTCATTGCAAAATCCATTTATATCTCATGATTTATGCAATCTCAATTTACCACAAAAATAACTTCGAATTATACTAACAGCCTGTTTAGCTTGTAAAAAATCGTGTGTACAGTTAGTAAATTGTTTAAAAACAGCTTCAGGCATCCCTCCATATTTTAAAGCTTTATTGTTTGGTAAAGGATAAAAAATAATAATTTTAAGGTAATTAATATTAACTTCCGATCAGAGAAAGCTATCTTCTCATAGCGAAACTAAAAACCGACCTAGTAAGAGCATAGCTAATTAAATATACTTTTCTTACGTGCTTATTTATAATGGTTAGAATGCATTGCTTCATTAGTTGGGTACCCTCGCTATTAACGACATTTTCGGCCGTAATCCAAATAATATCTCACGAGGTACGGCCAGCTTAGGAGATTTAGATTATTCCTAAATAAATATATATTAAGCTAAAAATACAGAACAATCTCTATAATATAATTATAATAATAAGAAATTAAATCAAAAAGTAATAAAATCGGAAATATTAAACGCTCTAACCCATAATGTTAATGAAAGTAACAATAATAAATATAATAGAGAATCCGTACTTATGGAAAACACAAACACGAGCTCTGTAAATTTCAAGTACACTGACTGATATTAAACTTAAGATATATATATATACAGAAAACGTTTTTAAAGATATGTTACAGTCACAGCCATAAACACAATTTTCGCATTGTCATTGGTTTTCTCATGAATAGATTATCACCAAAAGAAAAAAAAGCAGTTTAAACGCATTCTGATTTTCTCTTTGTTCGATAAAATATACATTCTCTAAAGGAATATGTTTTAAAAATAAAAGATTTTAGTTTGTTTTCAATTTCGCGCAAAGCTACACGACTGCTGTCTCCGCTAGCTAATTTAGCAGTGAAAGACTAGAGGGAAGGCAGATAGTCATCACCACCCACCGCCAACTCTTGGGCTATTCTTTTTCGAACAACTAATAGGTGGGATTGACCGTCACATTAAAACGCCCCCACGGGTAAAAGCGGGGGAATATATTCGGTAACAGGGATAAGAACCCGCGACCCGC